GAACATGCAATGTCCTGCCATCCAGTTTACAAAGCATTTGACATCTCTGAACTGCAGTGATAGATGGGATGTATTTATTGGATATTAAAAAACAAGCAGGACTGATTAAATGATGCATAGTCTGATTAAGACAGTAATTGTCTCCTTTACCATGAAGATGTATGATCTTTAGAGCTCACAATAATGAACCCTTTTTTGTTATGTAATGACAAGTGCACAGAAAAATAGGACCAGGCTGTGAGAAGTCCTCACTGATGCCATCAACAACATCCACCACCTTTGTGTGCCTGCTCTTTTTCTCTGTTTTTGCCTGGAATGGCACTCAAATTAAGGGACAGCACTAGGCCAGGAAGGTGGCAGGGTAAGGGGTCGGTAAAGATGTCTCAAAAATAAGCAGAGACCATCTAAATGAAGGTACAGCCAAGTAGTACCATCCAGCACAAACAGGGGAGAGCAGCAGCTAAAGAAAAATAAGAAAACTAGGAACTGTGAGTGGTATAAAAAAAGTGACTCCAGGCCAAATACATTGGCTTCAATGAGCCAAGTAATGCTGCTCCATAAAACGTTCCAGAAATACCAGAAGAGCCATATACCACCTTCTTATCAAGAATATGAGCACAGAGCCAAGGAATGGCAACCCACCAGCCCTTCCTCAAGGGAGTGGAGCCCTCTGCTACCGAGGCAATGGGAGACACAGAAGGTTTCCTGCTTCACAGATGGAAACCTGGACTACAACTTGTTCACAGCAGCAGGTGACCCCTACATGCTGCTGCTATTTCAAATTCATGCAAGCAAAGTCTCATCTATGGATGTTCCTATGAGCATTTTTTTTGGAAGCTCAGTTACATTTTTAATCTGTGCCTTACAAGACACCGAGGAAACAGACTGCAGCAGTTTCCATAAAAAATTAAGGGATGTCTCTCTAGAAAGACAGAGGGCTTTATATAGCAATGCACACACACACACATCCTGCTGCTCGTCACCCAAACACCGTAAGGGTTTCTGGGGATGTCAACCAGGCTGCAGGATTGCTGTGGGAAAGCAGAAGTATTATCACTCTCATCACTGAGCAAACCCATGTATTCAATCAGATTTTGGTATGTGGATTTCAGACAACATCTGCTATTTTTATTCTTTTTCTTAATTAGGGCCACGTTAAATCAGTCTCAAATTTGCCTGTTGCCAAAATATTTAAGTTCCAATGCACACCTCTCCATTGTACAGTCAGTGCTTCCCATTCAGGCAAAGAACAATACCTGCCAATACACATTCGTGCACCTCACTTATAAAATCACAATGAAAATTACCAGAGGCATAAAACAACTATTATGATAAATAATGAGCTTTAAAAAACCCACACCATACACGTAGAGAGAATCAGAGACACTGATCCTTCTGTGCTGAATGTTATTCAAGAGGATTGTCAGAGCAATGCTGAACAGATCAATTTATTTCTCTTTCTTCTCTCCACTTAACTGGATTTCATGTACAAAAGTAATTGTTCCTATAAGAAACAACCCTTGTCCGTGGCTTTCGAGGTTCAAAGCCTCAGACCTACATCTTTACTACTATTCGGGTTTCCATGGCAACAGATGATGGTGCCTTCTGAAGAAAAAAAAAAGTATACTTTAATATTCTACAGTAAGTGCCCCAAATCATTCCCGTAATATTAATGAAAACTGGAGCACGTGGGCCTGCACGCAGAGCATAACAGACTTAAAAAGTACAATTAAACAAGAGAAGCAGAGCTCAGGGACTTGCGGGAGGGTGGATGGTTAAAAAGGGCTCTGCATTTGTAAAAGAGAAGGATTATCCCTCAGAGATTCACAAACGCCTTTATACACACAGTGACCTTTCGTCGCCGCTGTCGAAAGAGGCAGTTTCACAACATCACCTTCTTAGGATTAATTGTTTATGTATTAGAAAACAAATCGAGCCAGCCGGGGATAAAAATAAAGTGGAATTGTGGCGCTAACAGCTCCCCAGAGGGAGAGAAAAGTGATTATTGAGTTAAATGGCTGCATTGTTAACAACTGCCACACAGAGCAGCTCGCTCAGAAAGGCCCGTTTTTCACCGCCAATTTACTGACAGCAAAACCTGAGCAAATGAACTCCTACTAAATTAAGGCTTCCCCAAAAAATTTCCTTGCAGTTTGCTCCCTTTTCATCTTCTCTCCTGGCTGGACGAGCCCTGTGTAATGAACTCTCAGCTGCCGCAACTTCGCGATGTGGCAGCGGCCCTTGGGAGCGTTCGAGCTCTGCCAGCAAAGCAAGGAGCAGGACGGGGGGAAAATTAAATTAAGCACTGCCATCAGAAGAAAAACAAGTGTTAAATAATCAGGTGTTCAGGTCAACAGCCCCCACGTAAACCCTCTGTCCTACTTTCCCCACCGGATGCTTTTTCACAGCTGCAGATGACTTTAATCTCTCTATTTATGCCCCCGTTGTGTTAAAAATCCTCACAAAACAGGCAAAGTGTGTCAACTGCAAGAATACCCCCCATGTTCTGGTGGGAGAAAAAGCGCGCACGGACTTTCAGGAGAACTTCCCTCTAATGCTGTTCCAAAATCCTGGAAGAACCGGGTACCGCTATCATTACCTGGTGCTACTTCTGTGTTTGGGACGGAAAAGCAAAGCATTTAAATTAGCAGCTGACCCTAGAGCTGACAAAAAGTTGAGAACCTCGAAAAGCATATGTTGAGTTACAAATAAATACAGAGACTGCAGGGAAGGGGAAGTAATTGCTGGGGAGAAGAGTTATAAATAGAGTGATAGAGAAATTACATAAAGAAATGAGTGGTAGCCAGCTCCCTCAGGATGAAATGAGGTATGCCAGGGAGAAACCATGGGCATTCTGCTGTCTCTTTGTAGTATTCCTAATTTTACGTTGCGAATAACACGAAGCAGCAGCAGCTGTGCAAATCGGGTAGGAGCTGACTACATTTCCTCTTGACTTGTGCCTTTCCTAGTTCCTAGTCCAGCAATCACTTAACAAAATAAGTTTTTAAAAAAATAATAACAACCAACAACTTGCACAGTGATTTTTCGGGATGTTTAACAAAAGGCTGCTGTATAAACGCAGTAGTCTTTGAAAAATAATCGGAGACGGGAGGTATTTGCATCCTAAAAGTTATGGAGAGAGCACCACCTGATGGAAGATGCGGAAAGACATCGATGACATTAACTGGAGCCACTCCAAACTTCACGGAATTTTCAGGGACAAAGTGCACCTGCAAAATTTTGCTTTTTACCATTCAAAAAAAATTTTTAAATCAGCTACAGGGGCACAGTCCAGACCGGTACATTTCACAGCAGATATTTATTTTAAGAGTAGAAAGCTTTCTCCTAATATCAGTACCACAAGCAGCTCAGAAACAGTTATTAAAATCAGTGCCTCTTACTTTGGATGGCAGGATGCACACTCAATTCTAGTGGTTTTTAAAAAAACCTCACAGTCACTATTTCTACTGAACTGATAATTAAAATATTCCATGGCTTTCCTAAAAATAATTGAAATATGTTAAATCTTCATGCGTTTAGCTCATATTACATTATCTCCCTCAAATACAAAGTGTCTTCTGCCCCCTTAAAACTTTGCTATTTTCCCAGAACACTCTTCTTTTCCAAGCATCTGGCTAAATGATTCATCAAAAGCCCGGGATCTAATCACAATTGATATGACAAATGTCAAGAACACGAAAACAGTTGGAAGAGAGAGAAAAGAAGGGGGGGGGAAATAAATAGCTCCACATATTGCTTACTCAAGGAAGCAGTTATTTAACTAGGTTAGATTTCCCAGCCTCTCTAATAAATCTGTGCTTTGTGCAGTTGCCTAGCAATGTAAACACGATCCCGGTGGTGTCAAAGCCAAGCCGGGTTGGTGACAACACCTCCAGCCAGCCCCGTCCCTGAGCCCAGGGCTTCGGGGGAAGGTGGGCACGGTGCTCAGCATCCCCGACACGCCACTGCTGCTGCTTTAAAACAGCGAGACAGAGTCATCCGAGCTGCTGCTTCGAGTCACAAAAACCTTCTTGTGTTTGAGATGAACTCAACTTAGTTTCGTGCCTCCAGGACGCCTCAGTCCTAGGCAATGAGATGTATTCCTATGTTAAGCGACACAACACAGGGAAATTTTAATCGTCTTAAACATACAGGTAGTTTTAAAATACTTTTTTTTTCCCTAAGTCAAGAGAGAAGAAAGCTATAACTGCTTATCTTTTAGCATGAGCACAAACTGCAGTGAGAAAATGAATGTATTGCAAGATCCAGGAGACAAACAAGACCCATGTATCTTTAGATTACCTACAAAATAGCACAGGAGGAGAAAGCCAGCTCTATAAGCACCTGTCATCTTCAAGTAATTCAAACTATGCCTAAAGGAACTCGTAGGAGTGGGAGAATAGCCGGCTACTATTACTGTACACATGCCAGGGAGCAAAGTACTCCCAAACATCAGCGACAGACAAAGTGACAATTGGGAAGGAGCCCCCCGAGAAAGTTCCTGGAGCTGTGACACGCAAGTGCTCAAACAGCTGCCACTAAACTTCCCAGAGCAAGCCCAGACCCCTTCCCCTGACCGGGGGGGAAAGGCAGCGGCTCCCCCCGCGCTCCACATCCCGCAGGAGCCAACTCCTGCCTGGGGCTCGCAAACCACCAAAAACCACCTCGCGTGTCGCGAATCCCACAATAAAGGAGACGCGGTCATAAAGACGATGCCGTCACCTCTTGCCGCACGCAACTTCGGCAGGAGCGAGCCCTCCCCGGCCCCAGCCCCGGCGGGGCAGAGCCCCTCGCATCCCATCCCCGGCGCCTCCCGGGTACCGGCGGGTACCGAGGCTGCTCGCTGCCGCTGGCCAGCGCCTTCCGAGGCGCCTCCATCGCCCGGATGGCACCGGGAGCTCCCTGCGAGGCCGCGGGGCTGGAGGCGCTGAGTTGGGGCTGCCGCGAGAGCCGCCCGAGGGATGCAGGAGCGGGGCACCGGCCGGGCGGGCATCACTCACCTGGGAAAACCTGTCCGTCCGCCCTGGGTAAGAGCTGCAGGAAAAAGACGATCGCGGCCACGCCGCTCATCCTTCCCCGGAGTTCACCTGCCCTCCGCGCTGCCGCGGAGCCGCTGCCTGCCCGCCGCTATCCCCCGCATTGGTGGCCGTGCGCGGCGGCGGCCCCGGCAGCCGGAGCCGCGGTGCTGCTCGGAGCGGGGAGCGCAGCGGGGCGGGCGGGAGGTGCCCCCCGAGCCGAGCCCAGCGCCGGCCGCGCCCGCGCAGAACCGGCCCCGCTGCCCCCCCACCCCGGGGGAGCCGCTCGGTGCCAAGGGGAGCGCGGGTTTGGGGGTGCTCGGTGCCTATCGAAGGCCGGGTGATCGCTCGCACAGCGCCCCGCGGTAGCGGCTGGAGCGCAGCATCGCGCGGCGCAGGCAGGTTTGCTGCCACTGCCCTGGCAGCGAGGGGCTGGCGTTAAACGGAGGGCTGGGATTGGGGGTGGGATTGGGGCCGGGAGCGGCGCGGGGATGGGATGGGATGGAGGGAGCGACCCTCTGCTGGAGCCAAGGAGGAAACAGGCACCCCCCCGCCCCCCCCCCGAGCCCTGCTGTTTGATGGGGCGGCTGCTACGAGCAGCTCACGGGCACCTACAGCTGAAAATAGTCATTTCCATCCTTATTCACTTTACTTTCGGGAGTTCAGCGCTGAACAGCGAGGCACACCGCGCCCTGGGCACTCCTAGGGCTTAGGCACAGGCAGGGAGACAATTCCGGGTGCAATTCTAAGAATTGCTGTCCACAGGTAACTTCTTGACCCAAAAAGATAAAGGGGGCGGAGGGAACCTAAGGCATTGAATAGGACTGATCAGTCTGGATCAGTCACCTGGGCTGGATTCGCACAGGAAAAGGAGAGCAGTGACCACCCGGACAGAGCACCTGTGCGGCCGGCTTTGGGCAGCGACTGCGGCGGGGGTGGCAGCGGGGCGGGCGGGCTGGCACTGCCGGCTGCGGCCGAGCCCCGCTCCCTTCCCGCTGCTCCTTCCCGGCCCCCGCTCCCTGCCCGGCCCCGCTCCCTTCCCGCTGTTCCTGCCCGGCCCCGCTCCCTTCCCGCTGCTCCTTCCCGGCCCCCGCTCCCTGCCCGGCCCCGCTCCCTTCCCGCTGCTCCTGCCCGGCCCCCGCTCCCTTCCCGCTGCCCCTGCCCGGCCCCCGCTCCCTTCCCGCTGCTCTCCCGCCCGGCCCTCGCTCCTTTCCCGCTGCCCCTGCCCGGCCCCCGCTGTTCCTGCCCGGCCCCGCTCCCTTCCCGCTGCTCCCGCCCGGCCCCGCGGTGGCTCCGGCGCTGCCGGGCCCGAAGGGGGCGGTGTTGGACCGGCGGCGGCTGCGGCGCTGCCGGGGCTGCCCCGGGCACGGGCAGCGCTCCCCCTCCCAACCGGCGCTGTGCGTTTAAAACAAGCGCCTGGAGATTCGTTTTCAATACTGCGAGAGCGCCGGAGACTTAGGATTAGGGGAGTAGTATCGGTGATATTTTTGCCCGACGTCTGGGAGAAATGATGCATCTGACTTCATTGATATCAGAAGGCTAATTAATTACTTGATTATGCTATATTATTCTATATTATATTACACTATAATACATTACATCTAAACTGAGTCTGAATAAGCACCCAACTCAACTGCCCAGAACCTTGTGAGTGCCTGCTGACCCCAGCCTGAACACACTGGGCCCTGACAGGCCAAGGAAACAAAACACCATCACTGTGGGGAAATAATCTCCACATTGCATTCTGCTTTGGCACAACACAGGAGAAGCCAATGAGATAAGGATTGTTTTCATCATTCTTTACTCTGCTTCTCTCACTGCTCCTCTCAGGTTCAGAGGATGTGAATCCCACAGAGTATGGAAGTTTCTCAGGGGCTGGAAGGTCCTCAGGACTCAGCCTGGTGGGATAATCAGAAATTTCTTCACTAAAAGAGTGGTCAAGCACTGCAAGAGGTTGCCTTGAGGAGATTTGCAAGGCACATGGATGTGGAACTTGGGGCATGGGTTGCTGGTGGGCTTGGCACTGCTGGGTCAATGATCTTAAAGGTCTTTTCCAACTAGAACTATTCTATGGTTCTGGAGTAACCACTGAAGAATTGCACATTGCAGTCCTTGACTGCAAGAACACCACCCTGGGAGCCAACAGAGACAGCATCAGCTTCTATACAGCAAATACTCCCCCTCAGCTGTTCACAGCCTGAGCCAGAAATGAGCCTGAGATGTCCCTGTATCTTAACAGAGAAAGATTTGGATTGGGAGGACCTTACAGATTACCCAGTGCCACCCCTGCCATGGGCAGGGACACCTTCCACTGTCCCAGGCTGCTCCAAGCCTGTCCTCAGTCACTTCCAGGGATCCAGGGGCAGCCACAGCTTCCCTGAGAACCAAATCCTATGTCCAGCCTTCAAACCCCTCCAAATCAATGATGTGTGACCCTTTCTTTAGGTGTCAGCATCACTTCAGGAATTAAGGCACTGCTCTATCTTTCATTCAGCACAAGGACAATCACAAACCAGTGCAATTGTAGATGAAGGCAGAGCAGAGAACAGAACAACAAGAAGAAAACCTCACTAAAAAATCTGCTAGGAAGCCTAAAGGATCCAGTCAGCACAGCAGACATGGAAACTACTGGAATAATAATATATAAAAATTCTTAGATCAGTGCAAATTGCCTGGGCAATAAGAACAGAAAGTCTTGAAACCCAGGGATGGTGCTGGTAAGAAGTGAATAAAACAATAGTGAAGAGCAGCTGTAAAAAACAAATTCTAAATAAAGTTGTTTTCATAGAAACTAAAGAAAAGGGAAGAAATACAAGCAAGTCTGGCATTCATGTTCAAAATGACAAAAAACTGGTAAACTAAGTGACTTCCTGAGGTCCAAGGAGTTCAGAGAGCGAAAAGGAGAGAAACTTAACATTTCTTACAGGGAAGATTTTCAAACCATGAAGTCTGCATCATAAGCAAGGTGAAGAAGGGTGGGAGGGAAGATCTGGATAGAGAAGAAAGGTTAGAAAGAAATTGCCTGCAAGAATCTAGGAAAAAACTGACAAGAGACAACTGTCTTGGACATCAAATAGTGCAAAGGCAAACATTAGGCTGAACTAAAATCAGGCTAAAACCTTATGAAGGATTGTGTCAACTCAAAAAGTCTTGTGAGAAAGGAAAACAAAAAATACAATATGCAGGATGACTGCAGCAAGAACAGGACAAACTAAAATTAGGCAGAAGTAAGCACAAAATCCCAAAGTCTGAAATTATTTCTGTTAATGGCAAAGTCAATAGATATTTGTAACCCAGGAGGATTGAAATAGTCTTCCAGACAACAAGAACATCTTTGAGGACTAGATATATAGTGGTGGGATGAAATCCAGCTATTAAAAGAAGTTGTAAGGCTGGGGAAGGGAAATGAGAAAACATGCTGCAGATAAGGAATGTGTAATTTAAAAATAAAGAGCCATGCCATCAGTATAACTCATTTCCAGCTAAGGGAGCTCCTGAAATTCAAACAGAGCCATAATGTTGGTTCATAAACCATCAAGAAAGACAGGGACAAGTTGTGCTCTTAAGCTCAGGTGTTCACAAAGCAGTAATGCACACAAAGGTTTTACAATAGGTGGCTTTGGAGCTGGCATGGAGAATTAAAACCCCTACAAAAGGAATTTGTTAGACTTCTACATTTCAAGGCTAGTATGTATTACATGATATTGTTTTCTGAAAATGGTAAAGAAAAGTTCTAAGTCTGATCTCATCCTGGTGTACAACACCACAGCTGATTTTGCTGTTACTAATAACTCTCAAGTGGCTTAAAAAAGAAAACATTGACATACTCTGAAGTTTTCTTGAGCTTGTTGCTTGAGGCTTCTTGACTCTGTAAAACTGTTCCCTCACTGGGTCAGATGAGACCAAAAAAAATGGAATTCTTTGGTTTCCAGGGACAATCTGTACCATTTGTAGTGGGGCAAATGAAGTGCTAAACAACTGAAGGCACTGTCATGTTAGGACAGCAGATGCATTTAATCAAGGAAACTCATTAAACAAGATCAGCTCACAAAACTGAATCAATACATATGGTTTTGAAGTATTTAACAAAAAAGTTAGTATGTAAATACCCAATCCTACTACCAGGCTAGAAAGGGAAGTTAGAGGAACTCCTCCAGTCCCCTGCAGTGTGTACAGGATCTCCAGCTCCAGCAGAAAGCTGACTCACAGACCACAGCCAGGCTGCCTCTGCTCCAGACATCACAGCTCCTCTGCCTGGAAATGAGTACTCCACAGCCCATGTGCTTTTTCTGAAGGGGAGGAAAACATCATTTTGCAGTTCTACAGGATTCTTTGAGGGTACACAGGTCCCCAAAACACAGCTCTCACTCCAGTCTGGCTCCAGGCAGAGTCCTGGAGGTACAGGAGAAGCTTAATCCCACACACCAGTGGGTGCTTAAAGAGAACCTCAGCTTTGACAAGTTCAATACACACCAAGATCAGTCAGCTCAATACAGCAAACTCTTTTTTCTCCCATGAGGCAAGCAGTAAATATGTACTGACAAATAAATACTCACACAACTTACAGCTTTCATTACAGAGCTTCCTAATAGGAGCATCCTGGTTTAAAAACAGGATTGATGGGTGAAAGTTTTAGGTAAACTTCAATGGGTGGATTAAAAGTTTTCACTTCCTTATATTATGCACTGAAAGTTTGGGTCTAGAATATGATCTGTTGAGCTTTTGTTGTCATGGTGTTAAAGAAAGGAAACTTAACCCCTCAGGTTATTCTCCTGATACCATTTGCAACTTCACCATCTGCCTTCCTGATTACAATTTTTTATTATTAGAAACAAAACTGTCTCTCCAGCACTGGCTTCACTACTTTGAGTAGATTCATCCATTTTTATAAATATATATGTGCACATCCAGACATGCCATCACCACAGGAGAAACAAACCCACACCACATCTGTGCATAAACTTCACCACTGAGGAGTTAATAACAGCCCAGCTCAGTGAGTACCAGGGAGAAGACCTCTGCCCAGTTCTCTGTACCCTGTAAGTGGTGCCTTATCTGTTTTCCCACTCCCACCAAGTAATCAGCACAATTACAGATAATTATGTGC